ATAGTCTTTTAACCAAAATCATGTTGATTCCGTTTATATTCTCCACTATCAACTCTGTGAAAAACAGTTTACATTACAGCAGATGCTTAACTGACATTGTCATTGTTACAGTCAGCAGTTGATGACTGCATGCATACAACTCACAAGATTTAATCACAGTTTTTACATACGACAAATTGATTACAGTCATATGACACCATTAGGATTTCGTAACTTCTTCTAAGTAGTATACACATGACAGACCTCTTAAGATTTGTTTATTTTGGCCATGTGTTTTCAAGCTTCAAGCAATATTTCAACGCCATCATGGTACCGGCACATGTTGTTTATAAATATTTGGGTTTCCTTTGTATATTTATGTTTTATGCTTCTGAAGTCTGGTACAGATAAACCTGCGGTTCTTGTTACCAGCCATTGTCACTGGGTTACAATGACATGAAATCAGCAACATCTGACAAAGTCATTACATTGTTTCTTAACACGAGCAAGACAAGTTCTAACTCAGGAACATGCTGTGATATCATCCTATCTCTCAGACACCTTTCTTCTCTTTAGGGCAAGTTCTGTATAAAAGCTGGTGACATAAGTACACGAAATCTAACTCGTTATCCATTCTACTTTATGATGGCTACAGATGCTACACTCTATAACCAGTCAAGCAGGTTCTGCTCATTAACAAACTGGTCGTGTCACTCTCCATCTTATGATGTATTGTTATGTAAACCAATTCAATATCTGTTAAAAGGGGGTGAGGTGTTTCAGAATCAAGCATGAAACACCATTTCACATTTATGCCAAAAAGAAAAGAGTTTTTAAAACATGGAAATTTCTATGTCAGTCTGACTGCAAACCAGTTTCTACAACACTGTTTGAGGAGATGGGCAGGTTCTATCTAATCACACCGAAGGCTTAACAAGACAGCACAACAAAGTAAACAGAATATCGTCATGTTATTAAATACCTGATATGTCAGTTTTCCATGTATTTCCATATCACCTGTTTTTATAGTTTGTTCAATGCCCAGAAATGATCAACATCAACATATGTTATCATTAATTTTCCAAAGTAATCTCTCTTAAAAAAATCTCATAGCTGTGACATCGAGATCGAATAACATACAATGCATAACCCTGAAATATGACTTAACAAACTATAATTTAATATTTATTTAATGAGGTATCAATTTGGCCAAGATGAATGGAAATCTGTTTTAAGGATTAAGGATTGAGAAAACAAGGTACCTTGCAAGTAAAGCACTCACACGCAGTGAAAAATCCAAACAATTTCTGAGATTCACTCCCTCTAATCCATAAGTAGTTTTGTAATATCAGCCTTCAATCTTAAATTAATTTTTTAATACCTGAAAAAAATAACAAATTGAGCTTGCATTTACTCAAACATTCCAAGAAGGTATCAACATCAAACATATCTTATCAAGCAACAGCTTGTACTGGGATACATGTTTCAGCTGCCTTGAAGGAAGACCTCCCAATGGCATCTGGTGCAGTGGAGTCCCAGAAGAGAGTCAGCATCTTGTTCCCCTGTACAAATACTACAGTCTCACGGAGGAAATGGGGAAATATGCAAGACATCTGTAAGCTACTTCATTATCAAAGGAAGCTGATAAGCAATTCATTGTTTATTTATGTGGGGACCATCATTGGGGAGGAGGAGAGATTTGTTTTTTAGATAACAGACACTAACCAGACCCGGTTCAGTTAGGATGTAAAACAATAATATACTGGTTAAAGAACACCCAGAGACTGTAGTTATTCTGTCCTGGCAGTGGGCAAAACACAGCTGTTCTTTAACCCATGTCGTAGGTATTTCAGGGTCACAGGTCAAATCATCATCTCTCTACAGAGGTACAGATAGGCTGCGTATCTGCGTAAATTATGCAAATATTTATGTGAAAACTCAATTCCTATTACGTCTATTGCGTACAAGTACGCTTGAATTTTGGTAAATACTCAATAAATGTGATCTTACATGCGTACACATGAAAATGTCAAATCTTAGCTTGCCTACTGGTGGATAGATAAAATAACTGAGGTATGCTGAGAGGCTCTATTTCAGGACATGAACTTGACAACTTGCAGTCTTTCTTAATGTTTCTCATATTACAAATCAAATATAAACAACAAAACCTAACATTTAAACTTTATTGTATTTTAAAAGATAATGGAAAATGGTAAAATACCCAATTGAGTTTGAGTGAAGTGAGTACAATTTATTTGGTTACTCAAAGGAAAATTAGGATACCCAATTGAGATGAACACAAGCGAGTACATAACTCATTGACCCAAAACGTATCTGTAGTTCTGCGTCTACCAAATAGTTAAGTGTTTTTATTACTAGACAAAAGAAATGTTCTAATTCATGCAATATATGGCCATCCAAAACAGCTTTGATTGGTAGGTTTCTCCATTTTTATATTAAAGTTTATCTATTTATATCTAGCTTATCTGGGGCGAAACACAACAAATTCAAGCCAGTAATAGAAAACATGGTGATGATGTTGATTAAGTTATTGTAACTGATGTTTATGTTAGGTCGGGGGTTCTAAATTAAGGTCGATCAAGGAATCAGAGACCCACATATTGTCCTTGACCTTACCTCAAAACACAAATGCATGTTCTTGGCCAAACAAGATACATCAATAATGGTCCTGAGCCTTACTGGAAGACACATGCTTATTGACTGTCTTACCAGAAACACCTATTTCATGTTACTGGCCTTACCATAAAAACCCATATTTGTTCATGTGCTTACCATGAACACATACTTGTTCTTAGCTCAGAGCTCAAGATAAGATTTAGCTCATGTGGGTACTGTACCCACTGTATTTTTTTGGAATGGGCGTTATGAATGTTGAGTGGGTATTTCATTTTGGGTTACCAACTGCTTTCAAATATGTGCGTATTTCAGTCATATTACTCACCTAAGTACTATGTCATTGAGTAAGTTTACAAAGCAGGTATATTCTGCCTTATGTCATACCTAATCAAAACCAAGTTAAATATAATGGAAATGATTTCATAAAAAATCACTCGTCCTATACTAACAGTACAACTTGATAGCAATCGATGTCATTTTCATTACGAAAGCGATTTTTATAAATATATTCCGTACACATTTGTTTTAAACTTTTTGCGTATCTAACATTTTAAATGCGTAATTAGTACGCAACAATTATTTTTCAATGCGTAATTGGAAATTTTCTATGCATATTTTACCAGGATACGCAGCTTATTTGGTCCTCTGCTTAGCTTTATGAGAAATACATTTCTTATTCTTGGAATTTCCAGAAATAACACTTTGAAACAAGCAGGATGGTTCATTTCATATCTCAAGAACTTCCTCAATTCCATCTACTTATGTACACATACAAGCCAATGACAATTTTAGTCAGAAAAAGACTTTTTTAGAAAAAACTTTTCAGCTGACATCATACAACTCACCAAAGAGTCTTCGAGTACTTTCAGTAATTACTGTCAATGATAACCCTACACACTAATTGCTTAAGTATCAAAACAATCTGGTTCATCTTATGGAAAATGAGATCTCTTAGTTCATCTTATTGAAAAGTGTGACTATTCCCATAACACAGAGATCGCTCCTTAACAAAGCAGTGCAAAATCTAACATCGCCTTGAGCAAATCATTATTTTACAGCCCACATTGGCGTTTTGAAGACATTCAATCAAGGACGAAAGTAGACATAGCTAATTAAGTAATTATGGCCTTCTTGATGTATGATGTAAGGTATTTGTGATATAACAGTCTGATCTCAACCACCCGAATACTCGGGGCCAATATTTGCATGCATGGCTCGTTAGCGTGAGCAGTCCGTGTTCAGAATAGTCTATTTCCTGTCTATAAATAAGCCAATGGGTGAGCTGGGATCCGATGTGGGTGGAGGGAATAAGTGTACTGAGTAACACATCAAGATACAATGTCACAAGTAGATCAATAAACACTGAGGTTAGACTGTAAGTTTTGCTTATTTTGTTAAGCCTGGCTCAACTGTAAAAAGAGATTTTAGTGCTGAGACCTCTTGCTCTGCCTTTAACATAGACTTACAATAGTCACAGCATCAAAACTGCTTTGTGCACGTGAGTTATTATCTCTTTCCATGTTTATCGACCAGATGGTATATATTTAACGAAAACATCACCCCATTTCCTTTGACTCCCTTTTCAGCAACAGCAGCCCATACTCATCCACTTTCCTGCCCCAGCCTATGCTCATCATCTTTTTAGGTCCAGATACCAATACTAGTCCCATCTTCAAAGAGACTTTAGTGTTCCTTCAAAGAACTTATGTTTTAGCTCCAACACAATTTCAGAGACTACATGATAGAGTATATGTGAGCATCACAGCCTTTTCTAGTAATGGTAGGAGTTGGTGTTCCAAAAGACAGCCATTAAATGCTTTTTGCTGGAAGGGGCCAAAATGACTAGAACATGTTGAATCAAGGTATGATGTAAGCAAATTATCACTCAGATTATATCATTTTACCAAAGTTCCAACAGAACTGGGGCAGTCATTACTAAAAAATGCTTACAATTCTCATTCAGCTTTGAGGCTACTAAGGGACCGTTCATAATTTATGGCTAGGTGGGTGATGATGATTTTTATGGATTTATGGAGAAGCATGTACAATGTGAATGCCCCCCCTCCCTAAATTTGATGTACAAAATAAGTGACCCCCCAGCATGTCATGTACAAAATCAATGACCCCCACATTCCCATAATTTCTAAGCATAATTTTAAACATATTGTTATGTACAAAATTGCTGACCCCCAGCTGCAAAGAACAAAATGGGTGACAACCCCCACCCACCCCCTTAAAATCATCATCACCCCCCTAGCCATAAGTTATGAACGGTCCCTAAACCAAGAGCAGCATCTGAATGGGCCTCACCAGGAAAGAAGCAGGCCGGGGCTGGGAAAGAAGTAGGGCCAGGAAATGAGTTGTATATCAGCTATGGATCTCACCTGTGTTCCACTGCTGCAATGATGAAGCCCTGAGATGCAAGCTCGAGACACAGGGTGGTGTATGTGGTCCGGTTTCCTCCCAAACCATGGGACAGTACTATCACTGGAAACTTCTTCCCGTTTTGCAGCACCGGAGCCTGCCACAATGCCGGGACATACACATCACCTGTCACAAACAGACACATCAGACATGGTAGTCACATCTTGTCATTAGATCTACATTCACATTGTAATCAGAAATTAGTTAAGCATTGCTTAATACCAGAACAAAGCATTCACATTGTCTGTCATCAGAGCAAGCATTCACATTGTCTGTCATCAGAACAAGCATTCACATTGTCTGTCATCAGAACAAGCATTCACATTGTCTGTCATCAGAACAAGCATTCACATTGTCTGTCATCAGAACAAGCATTCACATTGTCATCAGAACAAGCATTCACATTGTAATCAGAGCAAGCATTCACATTGTCTGTCATCAGAGCAAGCATTCACATTGTCATCAGAACAAGCATTCACATTGTAGTCAGAACAAGCATTCACATTGTCTGTCATCAGAACAAGCATTCACATTGTCATCAGAACAAGCATTCACATTGTCATCAGAACAAGCATTCACATTGTCTGTCATCAGAACAAGCATTCACATTGTCTGTCATCAGAGCAAGCATTCACATTGTCTGTCATCAGAACAAGCATTCACATTGTCTGTCATCAGAACAAGCATTCACATTGTCTGTCATCAGAACAAGCATTCACATTGTCTGTCATCAGAACAAGCATTCACATTGTCATCAGAACAAGCATTCACAAGCATTCACATTGTCATCAGAACAAGCATTCACATTGTCTGTCATCAGAACAAGCATTCACATTGTCATCAGAACAAGCATTCACATTGTCTATCATCAGAGCAAGCATTCACATTGTCTGTCATCAGAGCAAGCATTCACATTGTCTGTCATCAGAGCAAGCATTCACATTGTCTGTCATCAGAACAAGCATTCACATTGTCTGTCATCAGAACAAGCATTCACATTGTCTGTCATCAGAACAAGCATTCACATTGTCATCAGAACAAGCATTCACATTGTCTGTCATCAGAGCAAGCATTCACATTGTCTGTCATCAGAACAAGCATTCACATTGTCTGTCATCAGAACAAGCATTCACATTGTAGTCATCAGAACAAGCATTCACATTGTAGTCAGAGCAAGCATTCACATTGTCTGTCATCAGAGCAAGCATTCACATTGTCTGTCATCAGAGCAAGCATTCACATTGCCTGTCATCAGAGCAAGCATACATCAGACCCGTATTACTAACATTCTCATTCATAGCCATCATGGGACAGCCTGGTGGCCACGGCATTCACTTGTCAAGTGAAGTCCACTTCCAGTTTCCCATTGTGATGTTGCTGGAATATTGCTAACAAAACCTAAACTCACTCACTCACTCACAGCCATCACTGTGTGCCTTTATGAAAAACATATTTTTAAAAATTACATAAATATCATTACATATCCTCTTGGATATTCTTCCCCTTTTACTCAAAGAGTGCAAACTCCCAAACCACTCACTCACACAACAAAACACTCAAAAAGAACACCAGGCTGTACAACAAAACCCCCTCTGCTCCCAGCACCTGGCTCAACAGGTGACTGTGACATAACATCCTCAAGCTTATTCTCAGCAAGGGCCGTCTTAAAGAGGTGATGGCAAGATTCACAAACACATGGTGATGACCTTCACATTCTTCTGAAGCATTGTGGGATTTCTCCCAAGTCCTGAATTAAACTTACACCAACAGCTTTGACCCTTGGTTCAACTATGGCTTATTTCAAAAAGAGAAATGAAACTGTCTTGCTAGAGAGATGTACATCCCCTAACCCCAAGAATGTGTCTGTATCAAGCCTTGTGACTTTTACTCTAATGACTAGCCAATGTGTGAAGCCCATTTCTGGTGTCCCCAGCCGTGACATTGCTGGAATATTGCTAAAAGCAGCATAAAACCATACTCACTCACACACCAATGTCTAGGACAAAAGTTGGGATTTTTCAGTTGTGTTGACAAGAGGAGAAAATTGCAAAAAAGACATTAAAATTCCACTCACCTCCTAACCAATTGAACAGTTTTCCAAATATTTTTGGATTTCTTCCGAGAAAGTACATGTAGCCAATTCCATACTGGCGCCGAGGTATCCATAATGGCCACTGTCTATCTCGTTTCTGGAGGAAAAGCAGAAAAGTTTTCTATTGATACAAATCACATGCCAAATAAGATCACAGAATGAGATACTGAGTCCTGCTACTGACATGACTGAAAACAACCATCACAAGTCATATATCACTGTGAAAGATGCATAACCTGTCTAAAATTTCCAAACATTTGAGTCAATTAAAATCATTTCTTTTGCTGTGATCAGCAAAATTCCAATTTTGTTACCACAACCCGTAAAGACGGCCAATAAGGGTGATTGAACCGATCGTGAAATGATTGTCATCTAGAATGTCATACTTTGTTATCGCTATACAGACCTGCCATGATTTGAAACAATGATGAATATGTATCACAATACATTTGAAAAATACTGTATATAGAGTTTTCCAAAACTGTCATGTTTACAAAAGTGATAAGTCAAATTAGTAACTTCAGAAATTAGGGGCTGATTCCTGTGATTACAACAAGAGTAACCATTCAGGACCAGGTGCTTCTATAAAAGGACCAGACAATCCTGTGATCAACAGCATGAGCATCGATCTATACAATTGGTATACGATGACATGTGTCAACCAAGTCAGCGAGCCTGACCACCTGATCCCATCAGTCGCCTCTTACGACAAGCATGGGTTACTAAAGACCAATTCTAAGCCAGATTTTCACGGGTTTCTATAAAAGGACTACTCAGTTGTTGAAAATGTTAGGGACATTTATTTAGGTTCAAAACAAATTACTATTGACAGAACATATAGAATATATTATGTTCCATAATGCAATACATGCATGAATCATTATTTCAATAAACTGAAAGACAGCAGTCAGGCAAAAATGCATCATTACTGTGAGCATAGAATGAAGGCATCGCTCACTGTGACTAAACATTTGACTCGTGAAGAGGTGAGGTGAGGTGAAATTGGGTTTAACGTCGCGCTGGAGAATATTTCGCTCATATGACGACGTGCATGCGTGTGTATGTGTAGGTGCGGGGTAGAACTGGTCTTCAGCAACCCATGCTTGTCATGAGAGTGAGTGAGGTTTTACACCGCTTTAAGCAATATTCCAGCAATATCACGGCAGGCGACATCAGAAATAAGCTTAAAACATTGTACCAATGTTGGGAATTGAACCCAGGTCTTTCCTTATTTTAAGGGTGTATTAACGCTTTCACAACCAGGCTATCCCATTGACATGAGAAGAGAGGGGATCGGGTGGCAGTGCTCACTGACTTGGTAATGACACATGTCATCATATCCAAACTGCATAGATGCTCACTGTTGTCATAATTTATACGTGGAATATGGCTAAGTGCAAACAAACCAACAAAACATTCATCTCTCATGCATGTATTTGGGAACTCCATTGAGCGCTATAACAAAGTGACAAAAATGTTGCTTAGTCAATTCTTTGTCTAGAGAATAACAGTAAATTATCACTATACGTATCTCCTCCGAGTACTGTCTCATATATCTCCATATTTTCTTGTGCATAATGAACACACGTTCTCCCAAAACACAGCTGTGTGAAGGGCCACATGATACACAGAGACAAACACAGATTATTTATTTTTTCAACACGAGAAAGACATTTTCATGAATTATCATGTCTAGTATTCTTTCATCTCAAAATTCACATTTTTTTTATTGTCCTAGTTTGTTATCTCCTAATCTTTCATCTGGAAGAATCTTTTCACAGTGCATAATATATAAAATAGCACCTTTCTCTGAAATATAAGAATAGGATGTGTATTATACTCAAGCGTCCAACATACAGAAAACAGTTTTTTAACAGCATTTATTGCAATAACATTATTCGCAATGTTAAAACATGAAATATTTAAAATCCTCCACCCTATTTTTAATGTACAATATGACAAAGCTAATGGTTTAAAATTGAAAAGAGAAATATTATTATAACTCTCAATATATTTTAAAGTAATAAAACTGAACTAAGTGCAAAATTATCAAACAAACTTTCCCCCCAGAGCATTAACTGCCAATAAATATGATAGAATGAACATACAGAACCCTGGCGCAAATAAACATTAGAGCCTTGGGGCATGCTTCTCTGAGATGTCTTATAACATCATGTTCGTCATGCTCTTAATTAGTTTCTAATTGACAGCTAAATTATTAATTACATCATACAAAGTCACTAAACCCTGCGACATGATCATAGCAATGTTGGCACCAAATTGGGCTCGGAGGGTTTGGTTAGCCTTATAATGAGGAAGGGTGGTATAAACTGTCATACCGACCCAGCAGCTTCCTGACAAGTAGCTATGTAGTTGATTACGGAAATGTACAACCAATTTACCAAGAATATGACGTTCATAACACTTGCTGGACTGACAACTTGGTGTGTATCTTCAAAGGGTTTAACAGAGCTGATAACTGAACTGGATATGAAAGCCGCCATAATTGCCCTATGAAACATCACTTTGATCTTAAATATAACTTAGGGTGTTATATAATGAAGGTCTACAGAAGTAGAAATCCATGTGTTGTATATCAGTGATTTAACACCTGACATGTGATTCTAATTCACTGGGATAGAAGAGTTAACCGCAGCTGTTGGACATCTGAGGTCATTAAGAGCAGAATGGAATCATCAGAATCATAGAAATTTTGACTTTGTTTAAATATTTCAGTTCATAATAATTAAGCAGTTATTAATAAAAGACTGTGTATCAATACTATGATTTTCTCAGCATTTGCTTGTAATTACTGAATTTAGTTTATATTTTTTTAAATATCTTTTTATTACACAGACTTGATTAACCTATGCAGTTGTACTTTTAATGGAGACCTTTACATGTGTACCCTGACAGAGGTACCTTAGTGAAGAAACCTTCACACAGATATAGCAGCCAGATTGGAACTATACTCAGCAAATGGCAGTCCCA